AGATTATACATGTTGTTTTGTAGCTCACGTGTATAGAATTGTAATGAATAGGCAATGCTAGATTTATGATTTGTATATTGGAATGAACTTAGCCTATGCTCATGCCTTTGGTCATCTCTTTTGTTGATGGGAGCCAAGGGAATGATCATAGTGTTTTGTAAGCTAAGTTCCATGAGTTGTAAAGGATATGTAATGTAAATGATGCCTACTTGAAATTCAACATATGCATGCTTGTTATGTATTGAGTTATTGAATTGGTTGGGCTGAGAATCAATTAGGTACCTTTTGTTTAAATTGGGAAACGCTGAGAAAACAAAGGTTATGCTGCCCCAAATCCTAGCTAAATCTCATGAGGAGAGGTTGGATGAGTGCTAGGATTTAGTTTTGGGGCATGGACAATTGGGGTTTGGTATGGGGATGCATCTTCCCCTAGACTTGGACTTTAAAAATGTGGGGATTGGAATTCCCTGGCAGCGCGCTTAAGCGCCCAGGAGCACGCCCAAGCGCCCTGCTGCCCCTGTGAGTGCCAATGCATTCGGCCTCCTCGCGCTGGAGCGCCCAAGTGGGGGCTTAAGCGCCCAGGATTGCGAGGGGAGCGCCCTGGCTCGAGCTTAAGCGCCCTTCGCTGCAGAAAGATGGGATGCTTACTGTCCCCTCGTGTTTTAGCGCCCAGAGTGGGGCTTAAGCGCCCAGGGTTGCGCGCTTGAGCGCCCTTAGCCACTGAAGGAGGAGATGCTTCTGTCTCTGCGCGCTAAAACGTCTCAATGGGAGCTTGAGCGCCCAGGATAGCGCGCTTGAGCGCCCTGATGCGCGCTTAAGCGCCCATTCACACTGAAATACCTGATGCTTCCTGCCTCCGTGCGCTTAAGCGCCAAGGTGGATGCTGTAGCGCCCGATAGCGCGCGCTTGAGCGCCTGGTAGCGCGCTGAAGCGCGCGGGGCCTGTGACCAACACTCTCTTGTGTTGCTTCAAATTGTCCTAACTTGGGCTACGGTGCTCCGATTTGAGCGCGGTTTGAAGCCACGCGTAGTTAATGAAGAGATCTACAATATAGTAGAAGTTGTGAAATAAATAGGAAGTAAATTAATGATTTACAAATGGAATAAGAAAATGATGTTAAGCTTAATTTATCTGATTCCGCAAGGTAATACGGTTATGATCACGAAATTGGGTATTATAAATTCGGTATGTTTTAAAATGAAAAATTTATCCGGATTTTAATTGAACCCATGTGATTGTAACTGCGCTTAATATCATAATGCGATGTTAACAAACCGGTTCTAGGGGTGTTACACCTACGATGCCACAGCATAACATCATTACATGAATCAAAAGGAAACATAGAGTTTTTTTCTACGAAAATAGCTTCATGAGTCACATCCTCCTCAAAGTAGTAAAAGTCCACCATCCTCTCTAGCACTGCCAATCATCCTTTCTGAGTCCTGTTCCTGAAAAACACAACCATGTGGAAAGAATTTAGCAAAGCAATGCAACTCAGAGGTGAGCTTGCTAATGGAAATGAGATTACAAGTCAGAGAAGGAACATAAAGAACTGATGTCAAAGTAATCAGTTCAGAAAGTTTAATGGTTCTGTGTCCCGCAATCTGGGAAAAACTGCCATCGGCGATCTTGACCCGAGAAGGTTCAGAATATGGAGTGTATGAACAAAACAAGCCAAGATTACCTGTCATATATGATCAGAGGCTCCAGAATCAAGGATCCAATGATTTTGACTATCAACATGGAAAGCTGTACCTTGCTGGACCACATGACTAGTGGCCTTAGGAGGTTGAGTCAAAAGTCTCTGAACTTGTTCAAACTGAGTCTTGCTAAGAAAGACACCATAAGAGTTAGAGGGTGCATGAGGCTCATCAACCTTGTCATCAGTAGAGACCTGATATGCACGACCTTTATTTTGTCCTTTGGGCTTCCAATTTGCAGGTTTCCCGTGGATTTCCCAACATTTCTCACGGGTATGACCAATTTTATTGCAGTGGGTGCACCATGAGTGTTTTGAGGAAGCCATGAATAGAAAGAGAAGGGTTGACCGTTGATGAAAAATCAAGGTTTGTAAATTTTTGATCTGACCTCTGGAACAGGAAGGGAAGAAGCCGGCGAGAAGGTCTGTGCAAGTCGCGGCGGAAAAAGACGTTGGGAAGGCGGCGCGTGGAGCTCACGCCCCGGAGACTGGCCGCGCGTGTGACGGCGCGTGGCGACGCGTGCGGCGGTTGACGGCGATGGGTCCAGCGGCGGTCGACTCGTTGGATCCTTCTGAGTCGGATGGTCACCTCACGTTCTTGATCGGAGGTCAGTAGACTAGGTTTCTGTGTTGGACAGATTCAAGGAGGTGTTTAGGAGGTGTTTGACGGTGATGGAAGTGTTTGGATGGTTATTTCATATTTGAATTAGGGTAGGAACGAACCCGCTCTTGATACCATGTAAAGAACCTTGGCATACACCACCCCAAAAGCTAGCTCTAAGGGTGAGACAATTCAACCCAAAAGCTTAAGCTGTTGGGTGAGGCTACATTAATGGTTTTATATATCTCAACACGCCCCCTCACACGAGAGCCCACTGGGCTTGAAGGGTGGACAATGCACAGGCCCACCTGCCTGTGCGAACAAAGAAATTCCACTTGAAAGAAAGTAGGGGGCGGCGAGGATCGAACCCGGTACACCGAGGCTCTGATACCATGTAAAGAACCAATTCAACCCAAAAGCTTAAGCTGTTGGGTGAGGCTACATTAATGGTTTTATATATCTCAACATGTAAAGAACCTTGGGATACACCACCCCAAAAGCTAGCTCAAGGGGTGAGAGTGTCCAAGGCCTTATAAACTCCACATTAGTTGCTCTTCAACCAATGTGGGACTGTATATCTCAACACGCCCCCTCACGCAAGAGCCCTCTTGGCTTGAAGCGTGGATTATGCAACAGGCCCAATCTTTGATTTACCTTTTTTGTGCTTCCACTTTAAGGTGGGGGGCGGTGAGGAAGGTTCTTTACATGGTATCAGAGCCTCGCCGCCCCCCACTTTCTCTTGTGGCGTTTCTCAGCACAGGTAGGCTGGGCCTGTTGCATTGTCCACTCTTCAAGCCCAATGGGCTCTTGTGTGAGGGGGCGTGTTGAGATATATAGTCCCACATTGGTTGTATGTGCAACCAATGTGGAGTTTATAAGGCCTTGGGCACTCCCACCCTTTGAGCTAACTTTTGGGGTGGTGTATCCCAAGGTTCTTTACAAAATGTGAAGTTTTAGATACTCCAAGGCCATGGCAGTTCTGGATGATAATGCTCAAGAGTGGTAACATGGACACCTTAGCTGCAGTATGCCCAAAAAATGGCTTCAAAGCAAAGCCCTTCCCACAGCTGCCCGAGTTTCCATGCTTTGGAAAAGGGTGTATGAATATGCCTTCAATGCACCACAGCTATACCAAAGTGTATCAAAAGGAAAGGAAGATCATGAGGGTAAGTTTCTATGGCTCATGGGACTTGAATGATGCTGCTGCAACATTAGCTTATATGAATGACACCTGTTATTACTCTCTGACTTGGGAGAAGGAAGTCAATAAAGGAAGCTGGATCTTTCACCATGTGTTGAAGACATCTTCTAAATATCCATGGCTAATGCTCTATTTGAGATCAGATGCTATAACAGGATTATCTGGTGGATACCACTATGAAACAAGAGGCATGTCAAAAATAGTGAGTTTGTTTCACTCTATTTAGAAACTTATTAGCATTTCCCTTATATGCTTCCTAAGTCATCATAATATGAAAATTTATGTATATATACCTACCAAAGTCTCCACATTTTAAGGTAAGATTCACCCTTGATATCAAGAGGGGAGGGGGTCCAAAAAGCCGATTCTACCCTATGGACATAGAAGTTGTTGGAAGAACAATGGGGAACCATGCAATGGGGATGTCACCTCTGATGTTACCAGATATAGTGAAATGATCATTAACCCGAAAATTTAACCACGGTGCAAACCCAACCAGCTTCAACAATGTCCTCCTTATGGGTTCACCGGACCGACACCGCCATGCTCCAGGTAATGCCATTCACTTGGAGAAACCAGTAAAGACCTCTGACCCGTATAGCAACCCACAGCCTCAAGATATACTCCAAATTTTGCCCCACTCGGTTTGGGGCAAATACGGGTACCCGACAAAGAAAGGTGAAGGATGGGTTGGTGATCCAAGAACATGGGAGCTTGATGCTGGAAGGCTCTCTCAATCACTCTATTTTTATCAGGCAAGTTTAATGTTTTTTGTCTTAAAAACAAGGGAAAAGTATTTCTCCAGTCACCGGAAATAAAATTATCTCTGTGAGCTTAAAATGACGTCGTTTTGGTATTATAAGATTAAAAAATTATAATGATAAAGACTAATATAACCCTGCAATATATTATAATTACAAAAATACTTTAATTTCCGTCCTAAAACGACGTCGTTTTGGATTCACTGGAAATAACTTATCTCCATTGACCGGAGAAATCTCTTACCCTAAAAGCAATCCTATGAATATAACAACTTTAATTATGAGCTCATTTATCAATTTTGGCATGATTATTAATAACAAGTGATAGAAATACTTAGTATTTGTTGTTTAACATATTTAATGCAGGATTCAGGTACTAAACCTGAGTGTGGAGAAGCACTGGCCATCAATTGACTTCGGGACTGAAATATACATAAGTGATGTTGGCCAACTAGCAGAATGGACAGTTAGGAACTTTGATATTATCATCCCAAAACATGATTAATGAAATTTCAATATAACAAAATGTCTACTTATAAAACCCTCTCATATGTTTTACTCAGCAATACTGCTGTTTTATAGCTAACTTGTGAGATTTTACTATTTCTTACGGTAATCTACTGTGGCAAAGTAATGTTACCTCGTTTACAGCAGAAGGTCCCGTTCTATAAGGCACTTCTATCACAACATTGGCTACACAGAAATCATTTACAATTCCAAGTTCTCCTCCACCTTAAATAATTTTTGCATCAAGATGGAGAGAAACAATCAATTTTTTTTTATTAATCAATTAAATGATGTACATATAATTACAAGGATGGTAATCTGAAAGCAAAAGTGGAAAATCAAATCTAAACCCGTCTAAAATTTAATCAACTTCCTTCCCTCCAACTCCATCCATATTAGCATAGAGCATCATGTCTCTCTTAAGACTTCCCAACTTATGACAATCCAACCTGAAAGTCCCCTGAATGCCTGTGAGCGGCAACAGCTACTGCTGCAGCACCAACTGCACCAAATTGAGATTGTGCCTGTAGCAGTTTTGCATCAATAGTAGTGACAGGATCATTTAAGTGATCATTATTGCCCTGCTGGTAATATGGGTTGGTATTAAGATCAATAGGTACTGGTCTGGCTGACATGTTATACTGCTGGGATGGGAGCTGATGATTGCCTTGTGAAATATCCTTGTGTGTTTCTGATATAGATCTTGTGTTAGCGGGGTGCATCCTATGGAAACAGTGCGGAGAGACTGCTTGAGGAAGTGTATTTCGGTAGATCCTTGAGTCATAAGTATCTTCTATGTTTCTCCCGTTGTCATAGCGTGGAACTGGCCCTACAACTCGACCTGGTCTAGCTGTGGCAAGGAAAGAAAAAATGGTTAATGATATAATAGAAATAGATAAGGGTTGAATAGTTTTCCCGAGCTAATGTTATTCATTTTTGTTTCTTTTACTGTTATCTTGTCCTCCTCTGTACCTTTCCAGCTTCTAAATTCTAACAAATTCATTTATACCCTCCCAAAAAAAAATTAAGCCAAGCACCACATTAATCATATAGTGTATACCTGCTGGCACCCTTGGTGGAGGTCGTGAACCCCTTAATTGACTGCCAGAATTTGATTCTGCTGCTCTGGAAATCTTTGATGCGTCTTCTTTGATTTGCTTGTTCTCATAAGGAGAAAAAGATGGCTGTGTACTTGGAGGAATTGTACTAGAGTGAACAGTGGACCTTCAGAGAATATTAACATATCCATCAGAGAATATTTAGTTAAAAAAATCAACCAAACTCAACACGCGAACCACCATTCAATAGCGAGAAATTAAACACAGTAACTACAAAGCCTTCCATGGTTAGCACGTGTTAGTCTTACCTTGGAAGGGAGACATGCTTCCTTTCTGGAGGAATCACTGGGCCATTTTTACCATGATTTTCCTCAAGATAAGCAAATTGCTTTCGGAATTGATCTATTGCACTGCAAGGAACTTATCTCCGTAAATAATAAGCATTGCATATATTTATAAGTGATATGTGCATCTATGTTAGAATAGTAAAATAAGCAATGGGTATTAAGTTTTGACCTAGGGTAGAGGAAGTTTGTGCCTTCAGTTCCATTCATGTAATCTTTAAGCAGCTGAGGATGATATTCCAGTATTTCCCGATATATTAGTTCCCTAACATCCTCCTTTGTCACCCGTCTCCTCTCAAACTCAAATTCCATTTTTGAAATTGGTTGAGAAGAAGGTTCTCTCTCAACTTTGGCCAAACCCTTAAAGAAAGGATCAGCTAGTGCCTGTTTTACCAAACACGCAGAATGGTTTTTTTCAGATTTATGTTGAACGAAAAAAAGACAACATCAATACAAAGATCCTGAAACACACTTCACTGTAACTCCCTAGATGGGGCATAACATATGACATAATGGATAAACAGATACCTCTTGAGCAGTTGGCCTATCCTTTGGATCAAATGCTAAAAGCCTTTGCATTAGGCGAAGTGCCAACGGATCAGCATTTGGAAATTTCTGTTCAAATGGCACAAGAGGTTTCTTCCGCATTTCCATAAGGTACTTCCTTGCCTTGTCATTTCGAACCTGCATAAATTTAATAGCCAAATACTTCTTAAATAGTTTTTACGAAAGAAGCAACAATAACAAGCAAATAAGAATACAATTTAAGTGAAAGAGAAACAAAAAACAATGGTCCATACTCCTGTAATAGTTTCAGGTGATGGTGTCCCAAGAAGATCAGTAATCAAATCTAATTGATGCACAACACTTTTACCAGGAAACAATGGCTTTCCTGTCAACACCTCTGCAAAAATGCATCCAATGCTCCATATATCAATTGCTTGTGTATACTGCAAAAAAAGAATACCAACAAAATCAGAATATTATAGAAGGAAAATTACACATTCCAACCAAACCACTTCAGGGAAACAGACAAACTGACACAATTACCTGAAAGACAGATAAATTCAACTTCCAGGAGAGATCAATAGTCCTCCCTGAACAAGAATTATTATAATCTAGGCATTACTGTTTACTATAAAACACACAGAAAGCATTTCATACAGAAATAAGTGCAACGTCCTTACAAGTCAAGCAAGCAAAATACATTTTCAATTTCTCCTTTCTGGATTGAGCATAATTGACCTTGTTATGTAACATAGTGGGAAGAAAGTGACAAACAACAATAAGTATACCATAGTGTTGACATAAAATTGTATTAAGTTGCACACCATTCTATTCCCAGCTTCCCAACTCTAATTTCCTCCAAATACCTACTTACAGGTATCTGGAAAGGTTGTACTAAATTTTCCTTCAACAACAATTACTCAAATTTTATATTCCATGCCAGACATCTAACATGAAGATGATACTCAAAACTCCATAGCTCTAACCTACACTAAAACCACAAAATGTGGTTAGATTTTGATGGACCACTAGCTCTGATATAGACGCAAAAAGTGGAGGAAGAGAGATAAGTCAGCCCAAAACCAACATGGACAGACCAAGACCAATGAAGAGACTAATCAACAGCCCAATTCCAATGAAGAGCGTGTAGTGGCTGAAAGGAAGGATACAACAGGGAAAGAAAAGAAAGAGTTTGTTACAAGAAAGGATGACATGTGGCTGGCTCTGAATGGGAAGGAAAATGTGGGTGGTGTAGAGAATGGAGAGTTAGTTATAAGGGGGAGAGAAGGAAACGTGGAGGATATCTGAGAATATTGCAATAGTGGGGTTGGAAAGGGAAGCTCAATGAGGTGGTGGATTGCCTTGTTGAGGGAGTTCTGATTACTGTTATCATTTCTATATTGTCATTAGTGTTGGAGTCTTAATTTTATGTCCTGTATTAGTGTTCAATAGTGGTGTGCTACTGTATGTTGGAGTTTGTAATTAGGGTGAAGAGTCAGTGTTGTTCTGTTTATGTATTCACCATTATCGCTGTGTTTGTAAAGGAGTTATCTCCATTGACTCATTGCATCAATAGAAGTATTTTCTTCCTAATTCCCGGTGATTGTTTACTGTTACATTGTTGGGTACCATCAAATTGGTATCAAAGCTTTTGATCCTGAAAGAGTTGTGAATGGTAAGGTCACGCATGGAAGCTAGAGTAGAAGAAAATCGAACAGAGGTTGGGGTAAAATGAGCAACGCATTGGTGGGACTGATAAGCGTCTGGTGGGAGTAGAAAATTCGATTTAGCAATTTAACGTGACACCAATGCAATTTATGGATCGAATGCAGCAACGTTTGAATATGAATGAACGTGTTCAGCACAACAGCGGTGGAGCAAGGGGGAACGGAGTAGATGCTGGCGGTGGAGGTACCGTGACGAACACCGGAGACGAAGAGAGAATGAGAAGAGTGGAGGTTCCGTACTTTGCTGGGGATGATCAATATAGATGGATTTACAAAACGGAGCGTTATTTCCGAATAAACCGGATTTCGGAGGAAGAACAGATAGAGACGACTTTGATTTTCCTGAAAGGTAGGGCCCTGAATTGGTTACAATGGTGGGAACCTCAAAACCTGACCATTAAATGGGACGATTTTCGCTTTGTAGTTTTGCAACGATTCCACTCATCTTTTTCTGGAAACCCATATGAGGCTCTCATGTGCCTTCGACAAAATGGGTCCGTTGCAGAATATCGAGAAAATTTTCAACTGTTATCGGCACCGCTCCACCACGCCGATGAAGAAATTTGCAAGCGGCTTTCCTTAATGGATTGAAGGAGGAGATACGAGTGGAGATCCGTCTGCATAACTTGCGCGACCTAAAATAGGAATGACTCTAGCAACAGAGTCGAAGAGAGGGAGATAGTGTTGGAGAGGTTAGGGACGACGATGGGAAAGGCTGGTAATGGGCTTGGGCCAAATGAAGCCCATTATACACGGACAACATTGCCCAATAGAGCCGTTGGTGCTGAAAATAGGTCTAATACAACAAATGGTAAAGGACGAATTAGGCCTGTAGGAGGTGGGCCGCGTATCATGACCCAAACGAACCGAACCACTGAGGTGGGCTCTCCTCAAACAGCAAACAATGAAAGTGCAGCGTCTAATACAACAAGTAATGGGGCTTCTGTGAATCGAAACCCTAACGCCAATGGAGGAAGCAGAGCGAGCTCGATATAGACGCATGTCACCTGAAGAGCTCATCGATAAGAGACGTCGGAACTTGTGTTATCGTTGAGATGCACCATATTTGCTGGATCATATCTGTCAGAACACCAATCTTAACGTGACGTTGTTGGGGGTTGGTGAATCTGACATCAAAGGGGTAGAAGCTATTGTTACAGAAAATGGGCCAGAGACAAGGGAGGCGCTCCAATTGAGCGTACATAGCATCACGGCTCTGACTTCTAGCAAGTTGCTCAAGTTGTGGGGTGAAATATGTGGCAAAAAAATGGTGTTGATCAATTCGGGTGCGTGGGTGCATCACACAACGTCTTGGCGGATCACTTAGCTTTGGAGTTGGGCATCCCAGTCAACAAGGCATGTGCACACAACGTAGTAGTGGGAGATGGGTACCAGGTCAGCAGTCCAGGGAAATGTCACGGAGTCAAATTGGAGCTACCAGGTATGTCGATTGTTCAGGATTTCTTCCTACTTAGTTTGGGTGAGGAGGAAGTCATCTTGGGTTATGCTTGGCTGGAAGGGTTGGGAGAGATAAGGGCAGATTTTAAGGAGCTCATGTTGAGGATGCCAAGAGAGGGAACAATGGTAGAAATAAAAGAGGACCCCGCTCTGTCTAGAGGAAAAATTTCTTTCAAGGGGTTGGGGAAAGCTACAAGAAAAGAGGCTGAGAAATATTATTTGGAGTTGGGATTTATATCTATGGCTGATGACGGCACACCCAATCTCTCAGAAGCTGTACAAAAATTCTACAGCAATACCCGAAAGTTTTTAAAACACCTTCGGGTCTGCCTCCCACTAGACACTGTGATCATCGCATACTCCTATAAGAAGGAACTAATGTCCCTAACATACGACCTTATCGTTATCCTTATTATCATAAGGAAGAAATTGAGAAATTTGTGAGGGATATGTTAGCAGCAGGGTGGATCCGTCCCAGTACCAACCCCTATTCCAGTACTCTAGTACTGGTTAGAAAGAAAGATGGGAGTTGGCGTTTCTGTGTTGACTATAAGGCACTGAACCATGTTACAATTTTGGATAAGTTCCCATTGCCGGTAATTGATGAGCTTCTGGACGAACTTGGGGATGCTGCAATTTTTTCAAAGCTGGATCTAAAGTCTGGTATCATCAGATAAGAATGAGACCAGAGGATATTGAGAAGATGGCTTTTCGGACTCATGAAGGCCATTATGAATACTTAGTAATGCCATTTGGGTTGCGGAACGCCCCTTCAACGTTCCAATCCTTGATGAATGAAGTCTTTAGGCCTTCTATGCGCAAATATATTCTGGTTTTCTTTGACGACATCCTCATTTACAGCAAGGATGAGCAACAATATCTTACTCAGTTGCAACAGGTGTTGGAAATTCTTGAGAAGAATCATTTTTGTGCAAACCTTAAAAAGTGCAATTTTGTCAAGATTGAATTAGAATATCTTGGTCATATTATCAGTGGGACTAGTGTTCAAGCAGACCCCTCCAAGGTAGAGGCCATTAAAAATTGGCCACAACCAACACTCTTAAAGCATTAAGGGGATTTTTAGGCTTAACGGGGTATTATCAAAGGTTTGTTCGTAGTATGGACACATAGCTAAGTCTTTAACCCAATTGCTTAAAAAAGATAACTTCATTTGGGATGACGCAGAGATGCAAGCTTTTAATAACCTGAAGGCAGCAATAATGAAGTTACCAGACTCAGCTCTACCTGACTTTGTTGAAATTTTTATAGTGGAGACATATGCATCTGGAGTGGGAATGGGTGTTGTTTTGATGCAGAAGGGACGCCCCATAGCCTTTCTGAGTCAACCTTTTACAGACCATGTTAAGAGGGTGTCAGTATACGAGAGAACTTAAAGCCATTATCTTTACGGTGCAAAAATGGCTTCATTACTTGCTGGGGCGTCATTTTATAGTGAGGACAGATCAGCAGAGCTTGAAATATTTAATGGAACAACAGTTATTGGTGGAAGGGCATCAACAATGGATGGCGAAGCTTATGGGGTTTGACTTTAAGGTGCAATATGAACCTGGTAATGAGAACAAGGCAGTAGACGCCTTGTCTAGAGTAATGGAGTATAATGAATTATTTGTCATCTCTAGCCTAATTTTGCAACTTCTGGATGAGGAGGCATTGTCAGATCCATAAACCAAGTTCATTATGACCGATGTCATGCAAATTTCTAGCTCTCGTCCAGGTTATAGAGTGGCCAAGGGATGCCTATGGTTCAAAGATAGGCTAGTGATTCCGCGAGCATCACCACAAATTCTGAAGATTTTGTTTGAGTTTACTCAACACCATGGGGCGGACATTCAGGAGGAATGAGAACGTATAAGAGATTGGCAACTATTTTTAATTGGAAAGGGATGCGAAAAGATGTTGAGAAGTTTGTGCAAGAATGTGGAGTTTGCCAACAACAAAAATATCAAGGTTTGATGCCTGCGGGGTTGCTGCAACCCTTGCCTATACCTGATCAGGTTTGGGAGGATTTATCGATGGATTTTGAGGCTGGTTTACCAAAATCCAAAGGTGCAGACACAATTATGGTGGTGGTGGACCGTCTCACTAAATATGCTCACTTCATTACTCTCACTCATCCATTCACGGCAGAAGATATGGCCTTGCTGTTTATTAAGGACATAATTAGGCTGCATGGGTTTCCCAAGTCTATTGTTTCTGACCGTGACAGAGTATTTGTCAGCAAATTTTGGAGCGAACTATTCAAATTGTCGGGAACAAAATTGAAATTCAGTTCCACTTACCATCCCCAAACGGATGGTCAAACGGAGGTGGTGAACCGAACCTTAGAAACGTATCTACGTTGCGTTGCAAGTGGGCATCCTAAGAGTTAGGCCAAATGGATTCCATGGGATGAATTTTGGTTCAACAGCACTTACAACCGTTCTACCCAAATGACTCCTTTCAAGGCTATGTATGGCAGAGATCCTCCTTCCATTGTCAAATTTGATAAAAGGACAGCTTCGGTAGCAGTAGAGGATCAAACGCAGAGGCTCGAGATTCAGTATTGGTAGATCTGAGACTGAATCTCTGCAAATCCCAAGAGAGAATGAAGAAGCAGGCTAATATTGGTCGAAGGGAGGTTGTCCATGATGTTGGAGAAATGGTTTATCTAAAAATACAGCCCTACAAGTTGAGGTCATTGGCCAAACACTTAAACCAGAAGTTGAATCCTAGGTCCTATGGTCCATTTGAGGTAGAGGAGGGAGTGAGGCCAGTAGCTTACAAGTTAAAACTCCCTAGTTATTCCAAGGTGCACCCAGTGTTCCATGTGTCCTTATAGAAGAAGGTTGTTAACCCAAATGTACTTGTCCTGCAATTGCCAAAGTGTTTATCAGAATGGTTGGAGTTATAGGTCCAACCAGCAGCAATTGTGAATGAGTGTAGATTATTGAATGGTCGCATTAAGGTGTTGGTGCAATGGGATGGCCTTCCTGTATGTGAGTGGTCGTGGGAAGATATGAACGAGTTGCAACAGTTGTTTCCATCTTTTCACCTTGAGGATAAGGTGAATGTTAAAGGGGGGAGTGTTGATGGACCACTAGCTTTGGTATATAGACGCAAGAAGTAGAGGAAGATAGATAAGTGTAAAGAACCAATTATATATCTCAACAATAAGTCAGCCCAAAACCAACATGGACAGCCCAAGACCAATGAAAAGACTAATCAACAGCCCCATTCCAATGAAGAGCATGTAGTGGCTGAAAGAAAGGATACAACAGGGAAAGAAAAGAAAGAGTTTGTTACAAGAAAGGATGACACGTGGCTGGCTCTGAATGGAGAGGAAAATGTGGGTGGTGTAGAGAATGGAGAGTTAGTTATAAGGGAGAGAGAAGGAAACGTGGGGGATATCTGAGAATATTGCAATAGTGGGGTTGGAAAGGGAAGGAGGTGGTCCATTGCCTTGTTGAGGGAGTTCTGATTACTATTATTATTTCTATATTATCATTAGTGTTGGAGTCTTAATTCTATGTCTTGTATTAGTGTTCAATAATGGTGTGCTACTGTATGTTGGAGTCTGTAATTAGGGTGAAGAGTCAGTGTTGTTTTGTTTCTGTATTCACCATTATCGCTGTGTTTGTAAAGGAGTTGTCTCCATTGACTAATTGCATCAATAGAAGTATTTTCTTGCTAATTCTTTGTGATTGTTTACTGTTACATTGCAGGGTACCATCAGATTTCCTCTTTCAGATTAAAATTTAGAGGGAAATCACCCTATCATGAGAACATTAAATCGAATATTTGAGCCTCAGAAAAGCAAACTAGTCACAGAAAGCCAATGAAGATTTTTAATATGCAACGACAATGTAGGGAAAATTATTATTCATTCAAACATGTCTCAATAATAATGTCAATACAATAACTTCTTGTTAAACATAAACAAAGTTGCCCCCATAGCAGATAGGTCATCACAAAGTTTTGGCCAAACTATACCTTAGAAGAGAAAGACCCACAAAGTTCTGGTGCTCTATACCATCTTGTAGCGACATAATCCTGCAAAATGCACCAAAAGAAAGCATTAAAAAACCTCAATGCAACTAACTGAATGTACCAAAACAGTCATAAATTTCATATGCTCTATATGCAATTCAAATTAAATAAACCACATTACCGTCCAAAATATTGTTGTTGGGGCATCATTGAATGCAACTCTTGCCAGTCCAAAATCACAAATTTTGAGTTTGCAGTTTGCATTTGCCAGTATATTCTTGGGCTTCAGATCTCTGTGATATACACTTGCTGCAAACATGCATAAGATCCTTTAGAAGCAATTGGGCACCATATTTTATGAAATACAACAAGGCGTAACAAGAATGCATATAAAGGCCAAAATATGAAAGAGAAAATACCTGTATGCATATATTTCAATGCACGTAGCATCTGATAAAGAAAAAACTGATGGTGTTCACGAGTCAAGTCATCATTAGCTTTGATGACTTGATGGAGATCAGACTCCATGAGCTCAAACACTACATAAATATCTTTGAACTCCCTCTTTGAAGGTGGCAACATGATCCGCTTAATCTCAACAATATCAGGGTGTCTTAAAAGTCTTAGCAACTTGACTTCACGGAGGATTCTAATGGCATCAGAGATATGTTCAAAAATGTCATGAATCTTCTTTATTGCAACTTTTCCCCCGGTGTGTGTGTCAATTGCTGCACAAACAACTCCATAGCTACCCTTCCCAATAACTTCAAGAATCTTGTATCTGTTGGCATCCCCATACTCAGTGAAAAACTCTAACTCCTTAATATCCTGCACATTAATAAATTATGCCAAATTTCATGTCCTGAAAAACTTATTACCAATAATTGAAAATAACCACAATCAACTGGAAAACATATATAAAGGAACCGAATCAAAGTAAGTATAAGTATAAATTTTAACCAAATCTTGCAGCTTTACAGAGCTAGACACAAGGCAGTTTGACCATCATTATTTCACAAATCATCACTCCAAGCAAGATGCCATGATTAACATTGAATCATAAAAACTAGAAATAATTATTTAAAAAAATAAATAAAAAGATTCAAATGGACTCCACAATGTGCAAAAATTCTAACAAAGACGGGAAAAAAAATAATCAAATTCACAGAAAATTCAACGGCAACTGAACAATATCCAGCCATAACATCCACCATTAATCAACAAATTTTGGATTAAATGAAATCAATCCAACAGTGACGCTCAATCAAAATTGAAACCTCCAAACTAAAATCACATAAGAACCACGAGCAACAAAAAGTATGAAACAGAAAACCCTCTACTCAACGTCAATGAACTAGTATGAAAACGTAAAGGAACAATTTTGACAACAAATGCCTCAGCATACTCAGTGTTTGACTGTTACATTCATTATCCCTTTCAAATTATAATTTTTTTTCCCTTTCTCTGCCACCCCAGTTTCCAATTTTCCATTTTTTTTTTCACCCTTTCCAACTCCAAGTGAGTTCATAGCACTGTAACAAACTCTGCAGACAAAAGGGTCAATCCTGAGATCGGATAAAGAAACAACCTTCTTGAGCTGATCTTGCTGCATCTTGTTTTCCTTTGTTTCTTTCTTTCTTTCTTTTTTTCTTCTTTCTGGCAATAGATCAAACAGAAAGCAGTGTCACCAGCTACCTACTGTGTCATACACTTCCCTCACCGACCAGATCGAAGATCAAGCTCCAACTTCAAAATTCAGCAAACAAAAATAAAAAATAGACCGTTTAACCAGCAATTCAAAGCTCCGAAATTGGTGTTCCAATGGAGATGAAGAACAACAAGAAGATGGGGTTGTAGCAGAAGAAGAAAACCTTCACTTCAGAGGATCTGAGCTCAGAGGACGGGGAGAGAGAGAGAGAGAGAGATCCAAAGGAGCAGGAGAGAAGGACAATTGTGAAGGTGGGTCAAATTTTCTGATTATATATTTATTTAATTGTCTTTTTCTTGTAAAAAATTAGGGTCAGTCGGTTCTCATGTTGCTGCTGATGAGAAATGTTGCAGCAAATTTTTAACACTAGGATACACGTGCGTGCGGATCTTATCAAAACAAAAAAAAACAAAAAAAATCCAGGATTCGGACGCGTATCCTGTGTTGCTGCAAATTTTCTCTTCTGCAGTCACATAAGAAGTACTTTCCAAAAAAATTATTGCAAGTATAATACAATTTATATGTATACTTTTTCAGTAATAGCATAGTATATGCCCCCATACATCGTTGAAATAAAATTATCACCACCTACTTCACCTTAGACATATGTAATTTTTTTATCTTGTATATTATGATTCTTCTACATATCCAATTGTGAGATTATGTACTACGTGTATATAATAATTAAATAATTTTTGTATTTTTTTGTATTTACATATATAAAATCATATAGATGAAATGATGGTACGAAATTGGGCAGATAGGCGTGAAAATATATGTTTGATTCTTTTCAGTAGGGGTGTTCGTAGTCTGGATTGGATCAGTTTTGGAAGTAAAAATCATCTGATCCAATCTCTTATGTTTGATTATATAATCTTCCATTCGGTTTGGAATTTTTTTCAAATCCGATCTGATCCAATCCAATTTTTTTCGGTTTGGATTGGATCGGTTTTCGATTTTTTGAAAATCCTAAAATTTATTTCATGATTATTATACAAATAACATATTTTGTATATATTGGCTTTGTAATTTTTTTTTTTTAAATACAAAAGCATTAATAAACTATAAGATAGTTTATTTATGGGGAGCAATGAAATATGAAGCTCTACAAAGATAAAATTTTGTTGATTAGATGTGACTAGATTTTTTCTTGGGCTTAGTTCATGGGTTAATGGGTTTTGGGTTTAGAAATTTTTGGACTATGATTGGGGAAAGACCCAACTAGGTAAAGGGGAATTAATATATTGGATCGGTTTGGATTGGATCGGTTTTCATCAACCCATCCAAAAACCGATCCAATCCAATTAAAATTTACGGTTTTTTTTCAGTTTTTGATTTTTTGATTTATTCGGTTATCGGTTTTTTGGTTTGGTCACCGCGGTTTGAATCGGTTTGGATCGGTTGATGAACACCCCTACCTTTTAGTATCATTTTTAGAAGGAGCTTAAAACTTTAATCTTGAGACCTATCTCAAATCGAACTAATCGCGAAAGGATGAACCGATTAAAATATCTCAAAAAAAAATCATATAGTAAAATGCTCGGTTCTAAGGTGGTGTTTGGTTGGAAGCTTTTCAGCGGATATCTATCTTTTTCAAGTATGGCTTTTAGAAACACCAAGTTTGTTTCAACGTTTTTCACCAAAAACTCATATATCCAATTTGTCTGGATTTATGAGAAACATAGATATCCGCACTGTTTAGAAACCCAATTTGAAGGTGGGATTTTTCGGAAAACCGGTTATCTGGCTTTTAATGCACTGTTGATTTCATAAAGTTACCTAATTTTCTCAGTAAAAATTTTTCCCCCAAACAACTTTTTTTTTACATTTTTCTACCTATCTCACTTTATCTATCTTTCCAATCATTTCTCTATCTTTCTCATTTCCCTACTATTTCAAAAAAAATTCCTGAACCAAACGCCCCCTAAGGGTTTTTTTTTTTTGTAGGTTACAGGGAATATAACACACAACCACACACTCACACACACCCACACCACTAGGCTAGCCCTAGTGGATGGGTTTTTTTTTTCTTACATGATATTACACACACACACCCTATCTATGTGAGTTTCATACTTAAAATATATAAAAATATCATATAAAAAAATATATATATATTTTTCTTACATTATATTTTTATACATTTTAAGTATGAAACTCTTTTTTTAGTTTTCAAATCACTTGAGTTCTTATGTCTCATTTCTTAATTTTTTTAATTAAAGTTTTATAAAATTAAGCCATTATCTTTTATGTCAATTTTTTCTCTCGTGTAATTTTTTTTTTTTACATTTTTTATATTGTGAGATTCCTCATTCAAAATATAAAGATTCTCTTTCATTATAAATTCTTTTGAAATTAGTGTTTTATATATTATAAGAAATAATTTTATCATTTACATACATATAAAAATATATGGAATCTATATTATTTTCTTTCTCTCTCTTCTCTTCATATAAGCTCACATAGATGTTACACATTTTTATATTTATGTAAGAGATAATTTTATTTCTTAATTATAAAATATAAACATTAGTATCAAATTCTTTCCCGTGAACCCGAAACCTTATCCACCGAACTTAAACTTACTTACGCTACCTCTTGTGAGTTCATAAATTGTTTTAATTGAGTTTTTTCTTTTAATAGATGTACTTGAACTACCTACAAAAGTTTATGATTACAAAGTTGTGCAAATATTGTATTTAAATTCTTTTGTATAAGATGGGCTTCTATAAATAATTCAGTTTAATAATGGTGATCTTAAATTTAATTATAAAGATAGGATAAATCTTTTGCATTGTTTTAAGGGTTTGTTTTTTCTGCTGTATATAAGTTATCTGCAGTAAGTTCAATACGACGTCATTTTGAGGTGAAAATCATGGTATTTTTGTAATTTTAATTTATTTCAGGGTTATTATAGTCTATATGATTATAATTTTTAAATCTTTCAATCCCAAAACGACGTAGTTTTGAAAATAAATGCAGATAATTTATCTGTATTAACTGCAAAAATATTTTTCTGTTGTTTTAAACATAGAATTATAGATTAAACTTGGAAAACATATAAATTATTATTTAATTAATTTATCAGAATAAACTTATAGTCATATTATGATTAAATCAAATGTTGTTTAAAAAAATAACCTATTTGCGATTAGACTGATTCAACTTGCCAATCCAATTTGATTTTCAAAATATTAATTTTCGACGAAAAATGTTTCTCATACAATAAGAAACAAAATTATTTTCAAAATTCCAAAATAACTTCATTTTGGAGTTTAAGAAAAAAAATGCATGATATTTTAAAAAATTTATTTTCTCATATATTATGAATTATATTAAAATATCTTGTATTTTTTCTATACCCAAAATTATATCATTTTGGAGCTGTTGAAGATAATTTTATATATTGTAGTAGAAGAAACCCCTAATTTTTATGTTAAAATTCAATTACAATTTTAATTTATATATCATCTACAATCGAATAGAAAAAGTATATATATCTCTAAACGGAGAATAGAGTATCAAATTCCTACTTATCAAAATTGAAAATCATAGGCTCGCAAATATTTACAACGCTTCTAGGGCTCAAATTTTTTTCTATGTTTTACACATAAATATTAAGAAAATATTTAATTAATTTTGAGGGTTGGCTGAGGTAACCATATGAATTCCAGAACGTTTAATTATTATGTCGCTCGATTCGAATTAATCACATGTTTGTGCGAACCACTTTTCTTGTTTGGGTCGAGGGATATGGGAAACCTAAATCACCCGAAAAGGGTAATTAAAATCATAAAATCCAAAAAATAATAATAATATTTTTTTTGAGTAATCTCAAGGTTATCCTCCAGCCATAATCTAAGATTAATCCTCACTCGAGCACTGTCGGATCCTTTCGGGAGCGGCTCTCTCAAATCCTTTTTTTCTATTTCCATGGCTCGAACTCGAAACCTCTGATTAAGGGACTCAGTCTCCTTATCACCTGTGCTAAAGAAGTTTGGTAAAATAATAATAATATTAATTGAGGTGGGATATTCCTACTACTTATTTTTTCTACTACCACTTCACTACCACTTTAATCACAATTGAATTCAAAAGCTATTTTTTTCTCTTTTTCTTCATTCAACTTTTCCTTTAATCAAACGGTGATTAGAGTAGTAGTGGAGTGGTAGTAAAAAAAATAGGTAGTTAGAATATCTCAGCTGGTATTAATTAGTTATGCAAGTTATTTGTTCAGCAAACAACCTCACCTGGTCAACATCTAGATGTTTGACAGTAAACTATTAATATTAACATTGGTTAGATTCAATCCACTCAACCATTTCATTTGTGTTTTTCTTCTAACTTTGGAAGCACGTGTAGGGCAGCTACCATATCGTGCCCCAAAAATGCAGTCTAAAAAGATTTGTTAGACTTGTATAACCACTGGTTCGCAGAAGTTGCTATTACAAAAGATAAAAACAAAATCTGAATATGAATAATTCTTTCATTGATTCTGTACTACTAGAAATGTCATGTACAGTGTGTCATATATAAGGCAATGCCAAAAATCAGCAAAGCAAAGCAAAGGCAAAAAGTAAGGCAAAACAGAATGCCGTTACAACAAACTTGATGAGCTGGCAAAACAGAAAAGAATCTATTATTATTTAAACTAAAAACTATTATTTATAAAAGAAATAAATATATATTGTAATACTCCCCCTCAAGATGGAGAGTGTATATTGAGAACTCCCATCTTGGACAAAAGCTGATGAAAAGGAGCAGGATGCAGAGGTTTAGTGAGCAAGTCTGCAAGCTGTTGAGAACTAGGGATTGGAAAAGTGAGGAGACGGCCTTGAGTGAGCTGATCACGAACTATGTGGCAATCAATATCAATATGCTTCGTTCTTTCGTGAAAGACAGGATTGGCTGCAATATAGAGAGCACCATGGTTGTCACAAAATAGATGAGCTGGAGATGAGGTAGGAACCTGAAAGGCAGTCAGCAAAGAAAAAAGCCATAAAAGTTCACATGTAGCATTAGCCATCGATCTATATTCAGCCTCAGCGGAGGAGCGAGCGACAGTGGTTTGCTTCTTAGACTTCCAAGAGATCAAGGATTGCCCAAGAAAGACACAAAGACCAGATACTGAACGACGGCTATCAGGACATGAAGCCCAATCCGAATCACAAAAAGCATGCAATTGAAGAGAAGATTTAGCAGAAAAGAATATGCCTTGGCCAA